GGGTCTGCCAAAGGTCACACAGCAGGTATAAGTAGGTAGAACAGCAGGCCAGCAGGGAGAAGGAGGCAAATGGGGGTGTGAGTCCAGGTCAGCACTGAGGTGTTGAGCTGAGTCCAAGGCCAGGCAGCTGAGCAAGAGGACCTTCAGCTGACTTTGCCCCATTTCCCATGCCCAGCAGGGCCTGGCATTTGCCTCTCTTTGGAACAGCTCCTTCTGGGTTCCTGAGTTTGCACTCTTCCCAGAAATGCTAGGTAAATATCCCTGTTGTTTGCTGAGTAACCAGCCCCATAGATCAGACAAGGGTCCCACACAAATTGTGCCTTAGGGTTGGCTCAGTTTCCAGGCTCCAACCAAGACAGGTACCCTCCTCCAGAAGCTCTCCTTATCAGGGCCTTGTGAGGGCCCTGAACCCACCCACAGAGGATGGTTTTGCTGTACACCATGTGGCTTAGGGCTCAGCATCTTCTTCAAAGAGCCTGTTCCTCCCAACTACCCCAAGAAGAGATGGAATATTTTCTGCTTGGTATCTTCCAAAAAAATTAAGTGAGACATGGAACGTTGCCATTCTGATATGATAAGGAGTCATGCTGACTTCTGGAAACCTCCTGAACTGATCATAACCCCAATCATGGAGAAGCTGAAGGTGCTGGGGCTGGTTGATTATTCTACTTAAGGATTCTTTCTTTAGGGAGTATTTTGTTTACATATTTCTACTTTCTCTATCCCCCATGTGCCACCCCACTCTCCTGATCCTCAGGAACCATATTCTCATGGACCAAGTCTATCTTCTGTATGGTGTGCAGGTTTGCCACCTCACCCTAAGTCTGTCTGTCCCAGGTTCGCTGTCTTCTGCTCAGACTTTCTATGTGCACTCTTTTGCCCATCCCCTCTAGAGAATCCAATGGTTAGACATTTACCTGGAATTAGCAGTTTCATTAATTGACTTCTTTTTCTTAAAAAAAATGATTTAATTATATATATGTACACACACACACACACACACATATATATATATATATATATATTAAGTGAGATTTTTGCTATATGGCACATGTGCTCACCAGAGAGACAGAGAGAACAAAATCAAGAAATCACTCCCTGGAGGGTGGCCACACCTCAATTCCTTCTCCATTCTCTTCTTTTCTTTCTTTCTTTCTTTTTTTTTTTTTTTTGGAGAGGTTTTCGCTATAGGGCGCATGCACTCGCCAGATAGACAGAGAGAGACATAGAGCTAGAAAGTGAGAAATCACCTCCCAGAGGGGATGGTCACGCCGCAATCCCTTCTCCTCCATTCTTCTCTCGGGATCTTGGGCACGCACGCACAACGCGCCCGGCATGAGTTTTAAGCCACCGGGTCTGGGACGCGAACCGCGGTCAACTACGTGGGAGTCCAGCGACATAGCCATTATGCTAACTGCTGGTTCCCTCCTCCATTCTCTTCTTGGGATTTAGGGCACACATGCATATGTGCCCACATGAGTTTTAAGTCAAACCAGGGTCAACTATGTGGGAGTGCAGCCACATAACTATTATACCATCTGCTGGTCCCTATTTATTAATATATTTTAGTTTGACCAGAGACAGGGAGGGAACGTGAGAAAGCAAGCCACCAGGTCTGGCCACGCGCCGGTCTAATGCCTTCACTGCCACACCACCTGTCAGCCCCAACTTCTCAAGACTTCTAATTCCAAGATATTCCAATTTTGACCACCGATTTCATCTAGCTAGCTAGCATTCTGTGATGTTAGCATTTCATAACCGTAGATCCTAGTAATCTACAATGTCAAGATATTTTAAAATTGTGTTTCATGAATTTTGTCCATGACATAGTGACAATAGCCAGCACTCACTTGGTCTGGGTTTTTGTTTGTTTTCTGGAAATTTTGAGTCTCAGCTCCGGGCTCTCTTTTCTGAGTTTGCTAAAGCAGAGGAAGGAGATGGCTAGATAGGATAGGATAGGGGATCCCTCTGGAACTACAGAGCAGCCCAGTTCTAGGTTCCAGAATTCAGTCCACCCCACGTCATCCCAAGCCCCTCATTTGGGCTCCAGAATCTGAGGATAGCAGGCTCCTTTGCAGTACTTCACACCCAGCCTTCTTTCCTCCCTGGCCTGCCTCAGAGTCCAGGGAGAATAGTTTAGTGGAAAACTAGCTTGTCCCAATGGGCAGAGGGAGAGAGGGTTAAGCCCAGGGCAAGGAGCCAGTGAAGGAGAGAGAAGAGATTCCCTAGGGAGCCCTGCAGCCTTCCCCAGAGGTAAGGAAGGAACAGAGGCCGGAAGTGGGAGTGTGGGTGAGAGCATTGGTAAGGGTGGGGTGACCAGTATTGCATTGTAGGACCGGAACTGGGCTTCCGGCCATTGACCCATTAGTGACAAGGGACCTCCAGCCTGGCGCCCAAAGGGCTACCCACCGACTATGTGTTCCTGTGTGTGAGTCAGACTCCCAGGAAAACCCAGAGTGCAGGAACCTGGTCCTCTGGAGCCCTTTCTCTGAAGGGCCCACTGAAGCCAAGTAAGGGCCAGTTTCCGCTTTCCAAGGATTATCCTGGGGCTTGGGACAGAACAGTAACTGGAACTCCAGGCTCCTGTCGCCAGCACAGAGTTGTTCTTCCCATACTTCAGAGGATCCCAGAACTGTAAAATGTTTCTCTAACCAGTGAGACGCAGGGTTAGAGGATGGGCTCACCCCAGGCGGCCTCTGGGAGAAGGCTGGAGCTCTCCTCCAGCCCTACAGCACGTGGCTGAAGCTGCCAAACCCGATTTTCCGGTGGCTGCCCAAGGCTGGCTGGGCCGGAAGCCCTCCTCCTGGCATGGGCTCTTCAGGCCACCATCCTCCTCCCCCTCACCTCCTGACTCCCTGGCCTGGCCAGTTCCTCTGGCACCTGTGCCAGCTACCACAGTATGCCACTATTTCCTTCTCCCCCTGCCTGCCATGCCCCCTCGGGCTGCCATATGTGGTCCAGTACTGTCTGTCTCTGAGCCGAATTTTCTCATCTGTAGATGAGTGACAGTGGCCTGCCTCCCAGGGACTGATTGCAGGGAGATTCCAAAGAAAAGAGGAATGTGACTAGCAGTAGGCCACCGCTTAGATGGTGGACTGGCGCAGTGCTGGGAGCACAGCCTGAGGTCTGAGAAGGAGCACAGTGCTGTGGAATTCTGGAGGTGTAGTTGTTGGGGTGCAAGGTAAAGAGTTGTGCTCCTTCTGGGTCCTCAGGCTATTCCACCTAGAAGAGATGGAAGAGCAGAAAGACAGACAGAGAACCCCATCCAGATTAAGTGGCTTTATAACCAGTCCTTGCTCCGATTTATGAAGTGCCTGTGTGACCTGCTTCATGTCTGTCTTCCACTGAGCTGTAACTTCCATGGGGGAGAACTCCCATTGTCTTGCTCACTGCTCCATCTCCAGAAATTAGCACCCTCCCTGGCACACGGCAGGCACTATCGACTGATCCAGAGCTGCAGATTGAAAAGCAGAAGCCGAGGCACCCATGGGGGCTAGAGACCAGTCAGGTCAGCTCACCTAACCTCAGGCCCCTGCTCCAGGCTGTCCCTGAGCCCAGGCCTCCTTTTCTGGCCTGAGAACCTGGGTTCTCAGCCTTCAGGGGACTCTGGTGGGTTGGGAGAGAGTGAGTGAGCTGTACTCAGTCACCCAGGGGGGTCACCTAAAGCTGAGATTGTGGATGCCCCCTGGCTGCTGTTGCCTCTGGGAGCCTGAAGGGAGAGGAGAATTGGGAACCTGGAGGGGGAGGGACAGTGGAGGAACCGTCACTGCAGATGGAGCTAAAAATAACCAGAAGAGATGATGTCATCAGGTTCCCACAGCTTAGCACACCCCTCATACACACACACACAGACACACACACTCTCACAGACACAGAGGCAATCGTGGGCATGCATGCAAACACACACACACACAGGGTCTCAGGGCTGCAGGGGCAGGGAAGTCTGGTGAGTGTGTGTGCATGTGTGTGTGTCCAGCAAGTTTGCATGAGTGTGATTTCACGTGTCTTGTGTCTAGGTGCATGCATGTTCATTTGTAGGCATGTGTATGTATTGTGACATCAGTCACGTTGGGGTCTATGTGCTTTCGTGTCAGTGCGTATTTCTGTTCATAGTCATGTGCTTGCATGAGTGTGTGAGTTTTTTGCATTGTCTGTGAGTCTACTTTATATTTACATATTTGCATGTGTTTGTGGATCGTGTTTTGTGTCTTTATGTCCCCTTGTGGGCTGTGGGCACTGGCCCAGCCATCTGTCATCTCTGACTGAGGTTCAGCAACCCCCTCCTAGCCCCTGAAGAACCCGGCACTGTCTAGGCACAGTGTCAGTGAATTCTCTGCCCTACCGCTCCCCGTGGGTCCTAGTCTCTGGCGAGACTAGAGAGGATGGACATAGACACAATTCATTTTCTTCTCATAGGCAACAAAGGACATTAGTCAGGCTTCCTGAACCCCAGAGGGCCAGGCCACCAACGGTCTCAGGGTTCACTCCCACCCTCAACCCTCAGGGAAGGTAGACCTGGAACTAGATCTTGGGATATTGGGACACACGCTAACTCATGCAGAAAGCGACACAGTAGAGACGAAGTCTCTCACAATGTTCCAGCCACTAAAACACAGCCCCATGGAGACACACCCCACAGGAACCCAGTTCCACCCGATGACACATGGCACACACTCAGAAACCCAGATGGAAAATCCCCGGACGGAGGAGTTTAGCACACCCCCTCCCCCTGCTTTCTGGGCTCAAACTCGGTCTTGCCCCGCCCCCAAGTGCCCCAGCTCAGCTGCGGTCCTGAAGTACACTGACCTCAGAGAACGGCTGTGGGGCTGAAGGTGGCATGCATGCCCTCTACCCCTGCAGGAGGACCCCCACCCTCATGGCCTTCTTTCTTTCAGAGTGGATTCCCTCTCTGGCACACCCAGACCTTCAGAAACACTCCTTGACACTGCTGGCCACGAAGGCGTATTTGTTCACAAAGGCACACTCAGTCACATGTCTGCTTTTATTCCCATTCTCCCGGTCATACATGCACTTCACACACACACGCCAGCAGGTACCCCTGCACATTGATCATTGCAGGCATACAGAGGCCTCACAGACTTCACAGGGCTCTGCCTTCACCCTATCCTGCTCTGATCCATGCCTCCCTGTATCTTCCACGATGTCTACAGAAACCCTTCTCCCTGTGCAGGTGGGAATGTAAGGCGGGAGAGCCCCCTACCTCATAGGCAGGCAGATGGAGAGCTGAAGCCAAGGATGTGTATTGCCCGCGTTGTCCTGCCCTTCCCCTGTCTAACTCTGACCCCTGCTGGGAGTGCTCAGCCCCAACCCTGCCCTCACATCCTTGTCGACTGGAAACACCTGGGGATGGAGTGAGACAGTTGAGCAGAATGGTTGTATTTGTCTGTTGTTCCTTGCCCACAGCCTGTGGGAGACGTAGGAGACGCAGGCCCAGGGCAAGCCTAGCTCCTGGACTAGCTTCTGGGCATTTCTAGAGGATCAGAAAGCTCCCAGGTTGACAGAAGTGTCTGAGAACTGAGGAGAGAGAGGAGATGACAGAGTGTGAGGAAGGCTCCACAGGCCCTTGGATTTACGTACCTCCCTGAGCCCTCTACTGGCAGCCGATCCATCCTTCTTCAAGGCCCTGGAAAACCTGCTATCAAGACCCACCCTCGGGACCAGCAGTTAGTGTAATGGCTATGTCGCTGGACTCCCACGTAGTCGACCGTGGTTTGAGTCCTGGACCCGGTGGCTTAAAACTCATGCTGGACACGTGTGCATGCTTCCCCAAGATCCCGAGAGGAGAATGGAGGAGAAGGGATTGCGGCATGGCCATCCCCCCTGGGAAGTGATTTCTCGCTTTCTGTCTGTGTCTCTCTCTGTCTGTCTGGCGAGCACACGTGCCCTATAGCAAAAACCTCTCAAAAAAAAGAAAAGAAAAACACACTGGGTGTGCGTGCCTATGTGCCCCCAATCCTGATGGTTTGGATAAATGGAAGACAGAGAATTCCAATTGT